CCCGGCCCCAGGCGCTTGGCGTGGACACGGTGGCTCTGCCCTCGGGACAGGAAAGGGAAGCGAAAGGCAACATGCTGTGCTGGCGTGGGGACGTCTGCGCGAACGCCCTGCCGTGGGGACAAGGTGGCGACAGCAACGGGGGGTGACGGACATGGGACTTGGCACCCACAAGCAAGAAAAGATCTCCAGGGAGAGAGAAAAATGCACTGGAGACACTGCCATCACCTGCGGGGGGGAGCGATAAATGGGCAGGGGATGGAGGGGGGTAACCTGGTCTGGTCGATTAAGAAGAGATCCCCCACCATCACCATCTTCCCTCTCAAAGCTGTCGCATTCACCAAAGCCTGACATCCAGCAGCGAGGGACGCTACCCTTGCCCCAGCAACAAGCGGGTGAAGCCCCCATCCCCTCCTAAGAGGGCAGGTGTGTGTGGGACACTGGTGAGCAACTGGGATGAGATTTTAGTCTTTAAGCAGGCGAGGCACAGGGAGGGTGACCAGGGCTGGCTCCCAGCCCCAGCCCCGGGGTGAATCATGACAGACAGTGACCCAAGGAAGCACGCCCAAGGAAGAAAGTGATGGAAAAAGTGATGCAGCTTGTCCAAGGCATCACCATGGGACATGCCAGGATGCTCCAAGCAATGCAGAGGGACCATCAGCAAGGCCAAGCAGCAACCTGCAGAGCAGAGCTGGGGACAACCAAGCACAACCATCACACAAGACACCAGAGACAACCCTGCAGAGCAGCCGTGGTCAGAGGGGGATGTACGCAGGTGCAGAGAGGCTCAGAGAAGGATTGGGATCGCTCTCCTCAAGCTTGTTGGCGTAGAGGGAGGCAGCATTACCGGCACTGGAATAAAAGTGCATCAGGCTGGTGCAATTAAGCCGGGGGGAGAAAGCAGCTCTGAACCACCCGAGGGTGTGGGGCCGGGAGTGGGACCCCCATGAGCACCCAAGCACCCATCACCCTGAGCACGATGAGCCCCCACTCTTCCCTCTCCATAGGGGAGCAAGAAGGGGGTCAGCGATGCCATGGAGCCCCCAAAACCCCCCCCCAGCCACCACCAACGCTCACACCCAAGAGTCCATTAGGCAGAGCGTGCCGCTGCTGTGTG